TTCTTGTTTTCATCAATTTTAATTTCTTATAGAATCTATAACCCTTCTATCTAAATTCCACTTGATCTTCCTCCCACCACTCTTTCACCTTTGGCAAGAAATCAGGGTGCAGTAGCCACATATTCTCAAATTTGAAAGGACAAGGGCCACCCCCACCCTCTCTTGGGCCAGACTTATTGGGCAATGGTTTGAAACATGTCTTGGCAGTGCTGTAACTACTCATCCCCACCATGCCACTTCCCAATTAGTTGTGAATTGGAATCTATCTAAATTACAACAAGTGGGAACCTCTTGAAAATTTGACCAAGTATAATTTGCCCCTTGAATAGGTAAGTCCTGCAACTCAAAGGTCTCTATGAAAAGATTAAACTTCCTCATACTCATCGTAATCCGGTGATGTTCTAATTTGGTTAAAATGTTTTGAAAGGCATTTGAGGTGTATGCTTGGAGGTGTACTCAAAACACTCTGAGGCATAAGCTGGAGCTATGGATGCCTTTGAAGTAGGTAGGAATGGCAACAAGGCAAGGCAGGGCCATGTTTTGCCTACTTTGTACTCGGCCCCGAATTCAAATTCCCTACCCTGTCCCCGCCTCAAACCCCAACGAGGCTAAAAATCCTAACCCCATCCCCATCCCTGCAGGGAATGGAGATCCCCGACTTTGCCCCGCCCGCCCCGATCATTCTTACTTGTATACTTATTAATTTATTAATTTTTTATTTTTTGAAACATGCCTAGAACTATTTTATATTATGTAATATAATAAAGTATGATATATTATATATATGCTTTATAATATAGTTGGGCGGGGTGGACAAATACCGTCCCCGCCTGTCCCTGACCCTAGAGTTTTGGGTTTTCCCTAAATCCCGATCAGTGGTCAAAAAGCATGCCCCGATCAGGGCGAGGCGGAGCCCCACAGGGACAAGTGAAATTGGCATCTCTAGAAGTAGGGGTGTTCATTCAGTCAGTTTGGTTCGGAAATAGAACCTAACCTTCATTTCGGTTAGGTCATTTTCATGAACCAAACCGAACCAAATAAGACTTGAAACCAGAGTGAACCGGATTTAAATCAGTTCTGTTTGCTTTTAATTCGGTTAGTTAAAATATAAATGTATTTTATATTTATGTTATGGGCCCGCGCGTAGGATCTCGTCACGGGTCGGTCCACGGGGAGAACCTCTTGCTTCCCCTTGCGCCTTCCCTTGCGTGCAGAC